GGGGGGGGGGGGGGGGGAGACCCAGGGGGCCCGTGGGCACCGCGGGGCCTCCCCCAAACCCAGGGAACACTGCCTCACCCCACTCGGCACCGTCTGTGCGTCTTTTCCTTCTGCCCCGCTCCCCGAGGGCGGAGCCCATCCCAGCCCCCCGCAAGAATACGGTGGGCAGAGGGGCTGAGGACGGGCTGGTCCACGCCTGCCACGTGAGCCCCCCTCCTCCCAGCTTTCCTGGGCCTCCAGGCTGGGGAGGCAGGCGCGGGGGGCCGGCCTGAGGAGACGAGCCTCCACTGCGGGCGCGCCTCTCTCCGGCCACCGCCCCCCTGCAGCCCTCCTCAGTGCCCCTGTGGCCGGCCCAGGCCCCGGCCTGCTCACCCCACCCCTCGCTCCAGGCCCCAAGCCAAGTCCCTCACGCATTCCAGCAGCTGAATGTGAGCACAGAGACCCCTGTGTGTCTGTGGGTCCTGGGGGCAGGGCGCGGGGGTGGGGCGCTCCCTGGGTGGGGACCGCTGGGAACAGCCCTGGGGGAGCTACGGGGAGGGGAGCGCATCTTCCAGCCTGGCCCCTTATTCTCTGCCCCCAAGTGGGGCAGAAGACACGCCCCTGGGGTGTTTTTCAGGCCTGACCCACATGCCCAGGCTGCTGCCCTGGTTCAGGTCCATATTCTCTGTGGCTTAGAAGTGGTGATAACAGTTAGAAGCCCTGAGCGCTAACCACGTGCATGGCCACGTGCTAGACACTGACGTGTCTGCGGGCCAAACCTTCACAGCCACCCGGGAGGCAGGCCCGTCACGAGCCCCATGGAACACGTCTGTCAACACAAGGAAAAGCCGGGGCCAGAGACCAGGCCCTAACCATCATCCACGACCCCTCTCCGCCTCCTCCCTCACCCCAGCAATGCCTCCTCCGTCGGGGGCCAGCGCCCCCCCCCACACACACACACATTTAAACCCCACACTGAGCAACTTCCAAAAGAACATGGCAGATTGATCTCCACTCCCTCCCTGCAGCCCAGGACAGTAAAGGAGTAAACGAGGCAGAGGTCCACAAGGACAAAAGGCGAGGGAGAGGTGATGACGGCACGTGGGACAGGTTAGCAAAACCCGGGAGGCTGGAAAGCAGCCGGTCAAGCAGTGGCTGACCTGGTCAGGCAGTGAGAGTCAACAGCCAAGTCCAATGGGGAGAAACCACCCAGAGGCAGAACCCCAGAAAGGCTCAGGCTTAGGGCCCCAGGGAGCCATGGAGGCTGGAGCGCCAGCAAGACTGGGGACAGGAGACCTCAGACCCCACACCTGCTCCCAACCCCGTGTAGCCACCTGCAGAGGGTGGGGACCACTTTCTGAAGAGGGTGAACCAGAGGATCTGGCCCAGGGTGACCTACAGACAGACCGACAGAGATGAGGACAAATTTAAGTCTACAAGCCGCCAAGCCCCTTCCCCACCTTACGTGCCACCCCCACCCCCACCCCCCCCAGCCTGGGTGCCGGAAGCCACAGCCAGACCTACACGCCCAGGACAAGAAGAGAGTTCCTCCCTGGGGAAACAGACACGCTCCATAAAAGGGCTCTAGACACTGGTATGTGACGACCTACCGAGGACACAGCCCCATCTCGGCCAGTCCCCTGCACGGACTCAGAAACACCTGCCAACCAGTGTCCCTGTGCCTCTTCCCGTGTGTGACAGGACCTCAGATAGTTTAAAACCTCTAATATGAAAGTTTCGGTTTAGTTTTGTTTTTGAGAGAGAGAGAGCAGGGGAGGGGCAGAGAGAGAGAGGGAGAGAGAGAATCCCAAGCAGTCTCTGAGCTGTCAGCACAGAGCCCAACACAGGCCTCGAACTCACAAACCATGAGATCATGACCTGAGCTGAAATCAAGAGTCAGACGCTTAACTGACTGAGCCTGCCAGGTGCCCCAAATGTGACAGATTTTTTAAAATTAAAGAAAGATAATGCAGGGAGAAGAAAATAACTAAATCCATACAAAGAATAACCTCAGGAAGAAAAAACAGGAAACAAGTATGGAAATGTGACAATAAGAAGGAGGAAGTCAGGAACTTAAAAGTACAGTACAAAAAACTTAATAGAAGGGTGAACATGTGGATGCTGCCCAGAAAACAGGTAAAAGCCAGTAAAAAAGTAAAAACTCACAACATGAGAGAGCAGCTGAAGGTCAAAGAGCTCCCGAAGGAGAAAACGAAATTACCAAATGACACAAGAGCATTTCCAGGGGCTGAAGGACAGGCAGTTGTAGGTTAAAAGCATCCGCCAGGTCTAAAGCAGCATGAAAAAGCTCAACCTTACATGTAAAGGAGCCAGAAGAAGAACAAACAAAATCCTGAACCAGCAGAAGGAAGGGAAGAATAAAGATTAGACAAGAAATAAATATGAGAAACACGGGGCGCCTGGGTGGCGCAGTCGGTTAAGCATCCGACTTCAGCCAGGTCACGATCTCGCGGTCCGTGAGTTCGAGCCCCGCGTCGGGCTCTGGGCTGATGGCTCAGAGCCTGGAGCCTGTTTCCGATTCTGTGTCTCCCTCTCTCTCTGCCCCTCCCCCGTTCATGCTCTGTCTCTCTCTGTCCCAAAAATAAATAAACGTTGAAAAAAAAATTAAAAAAAAAAAAAATGAGAAACATAAAAAAAAAAAACACAGTAATACAGATCAGGTTCTTTGAAAAGATCAACAAAATTGATATACCTTTAGCTGGACTCATCAAACCAGTGAGCAAGAATGAGACAGAGACAGGGAGAGAGAGAGAGAGAGAGGGAGGGAGGGAGGGAGGGAGGGAGGGAGGTGGGGAGGGAGAAGAGAGACAAAAGGCGGGGGGGGAGGGAGGCGAGGAAAGAAAAGACTCAAATGAACAAAACCAGAAATGAAAGGAGAAATACAGCAGACTCCACCAAAGTACAAAGGGTTATAATTACAAAAAACCAAATGCCCACATTGAACAACACAGAAAAAATGGATGAATTCCTAGAAACATATAACCTCCCAAAAAGAAATCAGCAATAAATAGAAAACTTGACCAGACCAGTCACCGGCAATGAAACTGAATCAGTCATCAAAAACTCCCAACATCTGGTCCAGGACCAGATGGCTTCACAGGCGAAATCTACCAACATTTAAAGAGTTAATGTCTTTTCTTCTCAAATTGTTCCAAAAAATTAAAAAGGAAGGAAAACTTCCAAATTCATTCTACGAAGCGAGCGTTATCTCGATACCAAAACCAAAGACACCACAAGAAAACAGAACTACAGGCCAGTATCTCTGATGAGCACGGACGCAGAAATTCTCAGTAAAATACTTGCAAACGGAATCCAGCAATACGTTTATAACATCATTCGCTACAATCAAGTGGGATTTATTTCTGGGTGGCACGATTCACAAATCAATCAACATGATACATCACATGAATACAAGAAAGGTTAAAAACCCCACGATCCTTCCAACAGGCGTAGAAAAAGCATTGGACAAAGTACAACATCCATTCATGATAAGAACTCTCAACAAAGTAGGTGTAGAGGGAACGTTCCTTAACTTAATAAAGGTCGTATATGAAAAATCCACAGCTAGCATCGTCCTCAATGATAAAGCGCCAAGAGCTTTTCCTCTCAGATCAGGCACGAGACAAGGATGTCCACTCTCACCAGTTTCATCCAACACAGTACACAGTACTGGAAGTCCCAGCCATAGCAATCAGATAAGAAAAAGAAATGGAAAGAATCCAGGTTGGCCAGGAAGACGTAAAACTTTCCGTATCTGCAGATGACATAATACTGTACGTAGAAGACCGGAAAGAGTCCACCAAAAATCTACTGGAACTGATATGTGAATTCAGTAAATCTCAGGGCACAAAATCAATATACAGAAATCTGTTGCATTTCTGCGTACTAATAATGAGATAGAAAAAGAGAAATTAAGAAAACAACCCCATTTACAATTGCACCAAAAACAAAGTACCGAGGCATCAACTTCATCGAGGTAACGACCTGCACTCTGGAAACTATAAAACACGGATGAAAAAACTGAAGAGAACGCACAGACATGGAAAGATATCCACGCTCACGAATTAGAAGAACACATATTGTTAAAATGTCTCTACTCCTCAAAGCAGTCTACACATTTAATGCAATCCCTGTCAAAACACCACCAGCAGTTCCCACAGAGCAAAAACAAACCATCCTAAAATGTGGACAGAACCACAAAAGACCCCAAATAGCCAAAACAACCTCGAAAACAAAGAACAAAACTGGACGCATCACAATGTCAGACTTCAAGATACGGTACAAAGCTGTAATGATCAAAACATTGTGGTACTGGCACAAAAACAGATCAACGAAGCAGGGCAGAAAGCCCAGGAACAAACCCACGGTCATATGGACAACTCACCTTGGACAAAGGAGGCAAGAATACACAATATGAAAAAGACAGTCTCTTCAACAAACAGTGTTGGGAAAACTGGACAGCAACATGCAGAACGATGAATGTGGACCACTTTCAGGGCACCTGGGTGGCCCAGTCGGTTAAGCGACCAACTCTTGATCTCGGCTCAGGTCATGATCTCACCGTTTGTGAGTTCGAGCCCCGAGTTGGGCTCTATCTACACTGACAGTGCAGAGCCTGCTTGGGATTCTGTCTCCCTCTCTCTTTGCCCCTCCCTGCCTGCTCTCTCTCTTAACAATAAACTTAAAAAAATTTCTTAAATTAAAAAAAAGAAATTGGGCCACTTTCTTACACCATACACAAAAATAAGTTTAAAATGGATTAAAGACCTACACACGAGACCTGAAACCATAAAAATCCCAGAGAAGAAAGAACACAGGTAGTGATCTGACATCAGCCGTGGCAACTCTTTTCTAGGTATGTCCTGAGGCAATGGAAACAAAAGCAAAAATAGAGTACTGGGACCTTGTCAAGGTAAAAAACTTCCACACAGCAAAACGATAAAACGCTGATGAAAAGAACTGGGGAGAACACACAGAAACGGAAAGACATCCCACGCTCATGGAAGAACAATAAAGGGAGGAACATGGAGAGAAGAAGAGAGGGAGAGAGGGAATCCCAAGCAGGCTACCTGCTGTCAGCACAGAGCCCAAAGTGGGGCTCGAACTCACAAACAGTGAGATCACGAGCTGAGCTTAAATCAAGAGTCGGACGTTCAACCCACTGAGCCGCCCAGGCGCCCGGGAACAAAGCCTCTCAACACTGACGAAGAGCGACTGACAGCCCAAAGCTGATACCAAATCAAACGATCAATCAGGTGTGAGGGGAGAATAAAGACACTTCAAACCCCTTACCTCCACACACCTTTTCTCAGAACCTACTCCACCAGAACAAAGAAGCACCCCCTCTAAAGTCAGCGGCAGGAGGACTCCGTGGGACAATTTTAGGGCCGGCCCAGAAGGCACCCGGTCTAGATAGGATCGGGAACAGAGGCCACACTGCCTGCTGGAATCAGCACGTGCTTCAAATGTGAACAGAAGGCAGTGACGTGTTAAGAACCACGAACGACCCAGAAACCCTGTCGTCCCGTGTTATCGGCGTTACCTCCCTGTCCCGGCCACCCACACGCCAGGAGGGAGGATGCAGAGGGGGCCATGGGCCGACCCCCAGACCCTTTTCCCTTCAGACCCCGCTTACTGGCCAGCGTAAGCCGAGGGCGGGGAGCGGTGCCAGAGCACCCACGTGTTAAGAAATGGAATAAAAAATGGGGCACCTAGGGGCGCCTGGGTGGCGCAGTCGGTTAAGCGTCCGACTTCAGCCAGGTCACGATCTC